CTTCACTTTAGGTGCTTTTACCTGTTAGACGAGCTGTTTAAAGAGAAGCAGTCCGCTGTTTGACCAGGACCGTGAAGTGGCACCCATTTTTTTTTTTTTTTTAAAGTGAAGCAAAAGCTCGTGAAACCAGCAGACTGGACGTCACAAAGTTTTCATCCTCACTGATATTATTTGGGAAACCGCGAATCAGCTCCCAGATTTGAAACCCCAGAGCTGTAGCCTGTCGTGGTTGTGACTTTAGCAGTAATGTTTTGTCTATTGTCACAGAGGAAAACTTTACAGCTTTACATGTGATAATCCTGTCACTTTTAAGCTACTTTAAAGCTGTCTGATGTTGAAATTCAACTCCGTTACACCTGGAAGGAAAAAAGAAAAGACAACCGCTCCAGGTGTGACTGACTTGTCTCAGATAACAACCTAAAAGTATTCAGTTGTGTGCCCATTTCCATTCATGCTGACAGACCAGCAACAGGTTTTTCCTGTAATAAAGAGATCATACTCTGCCAAAGAGTCAGAGAGTTCACAGATGTCACAACGTCTGTATTTCTTCAGGGGGGTTTCAGTGTTTCAGTGAGCTGACTGACGGTGGAAGAAAGTAAAGTGGGCTCATCATGATTATTTATGTAGTAAGTGGTTGTTTTAATGCTGTATTCAGTTGAGGTAGAGCGAACTATTTAATAGGCTACTTAATTCATACACAGTTGGGTTAGTTTCATCTGTAATTAGGCATCATGATGTGTGTAAAATCTTAATATGTAGGGTAGTGTGGGGTAAGTTGGCACTCTGTGGTGCATTTTGGGGATGAGTCTTGCACTGAAAGTGCTCCTGTGTTTGAGCAGCGCGTCATGGAGCGGGTGGGAGACATTGTCCAAGATGACATGTAGTTTGGACAGCATCCTCATCTCTGACACCACCGACAGAGTCCAGCTCCACCCCCACAACGTCACTGGTCTTGCAGATCAGTTATGTTATTAGCTTTCCTATAATTTATTTCTCAGACTTTTAAATAGTAAGATTGCTGGAACTTCATTAGCATATATATATATAATTGAACACAAACAAATTACAGCTTATTTTAACTGACAAAAAAATTAGATCAACTTAGGTCAGAATGGCTTTGATCAAATAACTTAGTTCAGTGAGACGAGGGGCAGCCAGAAGAAATGTTGAGAAAAAACAATTGTGACATTTTGTGGTTTTTATTAGAATTACCGTGTTACCCTAATGTAACTAAAGCTGTTAATTGTTATTGTAGTGGAGTAAAAGTGCAATATTGCCCCCTGAAATGTAGTAGAAAGTATCATAAAATGAAATTACTAAAGTACCCCAAAATCGCATCACTTTAGTAAATTTACTTAATTTGCTTTAACATGTACAAGCTACTAAATCTGACAACTCATTTTCATACACTAATACTGAATGCCCTGGTTAAAAAACAAGAAGTTTCTTAGCTTTGGTTATTGATCTTATTAGGAACGAAACATTAACTGGGAGAATGCAAATCAGTGGTTCGGTCTCCACCAGCTCCTGAGGGAAACATCTGGCTCTTTGTCCACCGAATGCTCCACTGTGTTCACCAGCTGGTCTCTAACTGTGCTGTGTCTGCTGTTTGCCTTCTGAACTCAGGCCGGGTAAAAAGTAGAAAATAGTGATGGTGTTGATGGCTAACTATGTTGGTTTGATGACATTGCCGTCTATGTTGTTTGTCTACATATCAATGTTGTTTTAAGGTTGTAGATTTTGAGAATGATGTCCCGAATTTAGAACTCCAGCAATTTCGCACAATGAGAATACCCTGCGTAGGCTTTTTGTATTTTATTGCCCTGGATATTTGTTTGTCCTGTATCTCTTTCTTGCTGCAAACACCAGTTCCCCTCCTGGGACAGATACAGTTGACGTTAAGTTGAAAATAGGTCGCGTTATCAGAGCTTGTAAAACTTTGGTAAAACCAAAACAATGGACTGAAAGAAGTGAAAACACAGTGTAAAGCTGAGATGCAGCGTCGGTGACGGCCATCACCTCTCACACTAATTAGAAAAATATTAAATAAAGAAAATATTAATATGTAAAAATATTAATTACTGTGGCTTTAAAGTTATCAGTGAAGGTCAGAGGATGTTTTTTTTACTGTAGTATCTAACATGAGCACCTAATTGTTGTGTGGGCTGTTTAAAACTGATAAGAAATGAGCAGACTTGTGTCTCCACTTGTCACAAGTGAAGGAATGGTCCAACGAATTTAGATACGGTCCTCAGTAATCACAAGCACTCTCAAAATGCAGGTCCTGACATCAGTAGGCCTATTAAGGAACTTTATCAAAGGTCACGTTTTTCTGACAGTTCACAAGACAGAAGCTTCCTTTAAAAAAACCTTACATGATGATGTGCCCTGGATACAGCTGCTTCCTCCTTTCCTGACCTACTGGTGGGCTTTGTAAGGCACGCTGGTTTGTTGTACTAACAAGTACGGGGTGGTCGATATGTCCCTAAAGCTATATCACGGTATTTCTGCGATAATGAAAAAGTACTGAAAAACATTTTTGTTTTAGGAATAACTGTTCACGGGAGTTTTGGCTCTCCTCGTTTTCAACCAGGGGCTTAAGTTTAAGTTTGTTTCATTGCCCCCTTTTGTTGTTAAAGCCTTCTTACATATTACTAGTTTGTTGTACATTTGATCTTTTGTAACCGAACCACTTCCTGCAGTCGCTCTCCTGTATGGAACTAACTCCTCCAACGTGGAGCCGTGTCACTTTCACTTTCAGCAATGCGTGTTGTTGCTGTGTGTTACTGTATGATGTCAATAAGTCAGAATATTGGCATTTTAACAATATAAAAAATGACACACCCCTAATAACAAGTAAAGTTGACATTGGTTTGTATTTGTTAGATGTATTACAGTGTCATTTGACCAGTCTGATGATGGACAGCAGGTGGAAGTGAAATAAGGGCTTGTTCCCTTTTTGTGGGTAACTGGACTTTCCTGTATGTGGACTTAACTCTACTTTAAAACCACATGATCTTGTCCAAAAGGGATTTAGTTTTTTAAACGATGACAAGTACCATGCGTAACAACGGTGCATTCAAAGTGAACGTCTGAATAGGAAATAATGAACCGTATTAGCTGACTTTACAAATACAAATCAATCTTTTCAGGTGGTCTTAAAGGTGTCATTTCCACTGCGCATGCTGGGTCCACTAGACAAAAATTACTTAAATGACTTAACGTGATGCATGCTGGTTAGAAATGCTGTCTGACTTTTGCTGGCGCAGCAAAGCATCACCATGTCACATGACATTAAAACCTTGTGGAAGCAAGGCGGCTGCAGTTTTCTGAGGAGCCCGTCCACACTACTGCGTTTTCATTTTAAAACGGAGACCTTTTGCTACGTTTGCACCTCCCGTCCAGACTGGTGAAGTTTGGAAAAGCTGCTGACCCCGGTATTTATTTTTTTTGTTTTTGAAACTCCTGGATAACTTAAGTGCAGAGAAGATGACTTTCAGAGATTGTTTACTGTAACCAGCTACCTAATAACATTGGCATTGGCTTGATTAAGAAGACAGACAAGGGCAGTGTCATCAAAAATGTCTGAATGAGCATTCCTGACTAAGTCTGTAGTCAGCAGTGGAGAGACTGAATAAAAAGGAAATAAAACCCTGCCCTGTGGTGAAAGATACTTTTTTTATTAAAACTGACAAACTTGGGCAAGATTACGTGACAAGATTACTTCTTCTTCTGACAAGATTACTTCTTGTCACGCCCCAGAAAGTACTACCCCCCCCAAGCAGGGACATTTTGGGGGGTAAAATGAAGACCCCAGAACTACATTTAGACCCTGGTCCTTCCAGGGTATAGTTCCTTTGGTTGAAACTAAAGTTATAATGTTTGTAAGTCAGTTAAAGTGTCATGAAAAGCTCAGGCACCAAATTCAATGTTGATTAAAGGAGAGTCCAAACACAGCTCATGAAGCACAGCAAATATTTGAGCATCATTTTACACCACCAACTGCATTGTAAAAGCATCTATAAAAGAGTCATCGAAAGGTACTTCTTCAGGAACTTGAGCTCTTTATCACTGTGAATATCTCGTCATTATACTGTTAAGTTTATTCAAAGTATTATACTTGTTGTAGTGTGTGTTGCAGAAGGACACACATAAGAAGGAAAGTGGTAACTTGATCAGGATCAAACACCAGTCATGTTAGTTTTCTTCATATGTTGTCAAGTTAGTATTGGTAATTTGTGTCCGTATGTCTTGCTATTATACGGACATGTTTCCAAAAAGTCCAGAAAGATGTTGTTTTGAAAGATGCTTTTGCCTTCTTGAGGATATCAGACTTTTCACGCAGAGGTCTGTGTGTTTTAGCAGACAAAAGTATATTTAGTTTAACCTTTAGTTAATTGCAAAATATAGATAAATATGTCTTGTTTACTGACTAAAAAATCTAATATCTGGAAAGTTATATCAAGAATTGCGATTGAGCCTAGCTGAGCTTCAAAATTCAAATTAGCTATACTAGCTTAAAGCTGTCTAAACTAGTTAGCTACTAGTTCTCTGAGTTAGTGTGCTAACATTTAGCAGCTAAGTTACACCTCCCATTGTAACACATTCTCACTCCCACCTCGTCACATATGGACGCATGGTCAAGACCCCTTGGCGTCGCTTGTTAACGCACTGAGTAGCTACCCCTTTTAGGGTCGTTTTTGGAAGCGTCCGTATGAAACGCCCCCGTTTCCTACGTTGCCGCAACACAAGGGAGACTAACCCTACCTGTTAGCACATCGGCCGATGTGCGCAGCTGTAGAGTTAGCCGGTCGACATGCATGCATTCAGTGACTTAGGTTTAGGTACTAACATTTCTGATGATTGTGGGTAAGGGTAGGGGCTTCGGGGGGCTGTCAACACCCTCTCTCGTCGCACACTACCGTACATATTTTTGCTGTGGTGGTGCCCCTAAAGCGCTCTATATCCTGTGTTTTGACCCTTTAACCTCCTCTGTCCAGATGAGCACAGCAGAGGGAAACGGCAAGAACAGCACACAGATTTCCAAGAAGGCCAAAATGAGCGGCGACACCTTGACCCTGCACCAGGAAGGCGTCCCTCTGAACAAGTTGCCGAAGGTACGTAACACAGGACATTTGTTATATTTGCAATCCTGTTGCTGGGAACAAATTCAGTAACATTTACTGTATTAGTGTCATTGTCTAAAAGTATTGTGTTTAGTAATAACTTTCTGTGATGTCAAGTCTTTTTATACACAGTGGGAGTAGACGGTCTGTTCCTGGAATGATTCTCAGATTAGTAAATCACACAGTTTAATATTAATCTGACTCATACAGAATGATCGGTAACTGGACATTTCAGTGACAGATGAAACATTTGCTTCAGCTTTATGATGACACACATTCTCCATCACAAAAACGCCTTGGCAGAATAATAAGCTGATGATCCTTCTGTCACTTGGTTACCTGGTTTATCGCTCAAGGTTCACAGCCAGGCTAGCAGTGGTGAAAGAAGTTTATATATCCTCCACTTACCAGTACAACAAGGCAAATACTCTATTATAAGTAAAAGTCCTGCAATTTTAAATCCTACTTCAGAACATAGAATATTCAGCTAAATGTCTTCAAAAGGAAAAGTCTTAAGTTTTTTAATTTTCTCTCTTATTATTAGGCTATATCACCCCTCTCCGCTGGCTCTTTTTTTTCTATTACAATGAACCTTCTGTGCAGTTTTACATCTTAATCATATTACACATAAAAGAAGAGCCCATAAAATACAGAATAGAGATTTGAACTACAATAAGAACACTACAAATTTACTCCATGCGATGCCAACGAGCCTCCCTGGCTTTGCCGTCCACCACTATATTAGATTTAGCCGTTAACTTGTCTTTACATTCATCATTTCCTAACACTACCAATGTGCATTCCTTTGGAGAAATACGGAGCATGCGCCGTTGCGAAAAAACTCTGCCTGCACGGCCGAATACACCCCTTTTATGCGAACACTCAACAACTCCAAATAAATTAACACCGACTCAACTAACCAACATCTTATCCACCGTCGTAGTACCGTTTAACACCAGTGTAGGCGATCAGAGTTTGTCAACCCTGAGTTTGCCTGATAACCCAGAGTTAACTCTGAGTAGGTTGAACTCCCTTCGTATTGCAGGCCACAGGTGTGTTGTTATTCTGCATATTTTCACAGCGATTTATTGTATATTTGCAGGCTGGCTCAAGCCAGTATAACGTACTTAATATGCCAAACCATCAGAGTTGAGATTGAGGAATGAAGTAAGCCACATCTCTGCTGAGGTAAAAGCAGGAACAAGCATAGAGACAAGGAACAGACAGAAAGGAAGGAAGGAAATCAAATGAGAGATAGAGGTGATGAAAGAGTTTAATGGTACAGAGAGAAAGAGCGAGACGAGGCCTAAACAAACACGCCTCTGGAAAATTACTGCAACTCAGGAGAGTGAAGAAGAAGAAGAAGAGAGAGAAAAGAGAGAGGAGTGGTGTGTGTTCACTATCCACACTTCATGCAAGTGTCTGTGGAAACAGGCCTGGGGTGTTTTTCAGAAAGCAAGTTTAACAAACTCACCCTGAACACTTGAGTTCATGAACCCTGAGGTGAAAAATGTTTTCAGTTGTAGAACAGCTGGTCAGAGTCAATTCAATTAACTTAAAAAGCCATCATTAGCGGAGCTATGAACTCACCATGGCAAGGTAAATAAAAGACAGAGGCTCCCTTTTTAATCCAGCGGACACTGAGATATAAATGCATATCCAGACTGTGCACATTCGTCTAAAAAAAAAAAAGCTATTCAGTGTTGTGCTGTTTATTCATTGTTTACCATTGTTTACCTATATATTAGGCTGTAGCCTGCATTACATTTTAAATACATTTGTCCAGCTGTAATCAGATGGGGACAAAACACGGGGGCCAGCAGCTGAAGATAAAAAGACAAAGACATAGAGACGTGATTGTAAACTCACAATCTGATGCAGTAATAATTGGTAAACCGATTAGCTTTCAGCTGGTGAAAAGGTTAAAATGAGATTTTACAGGTGCGTCTCACATAATTAATCTAGGAAAGGTTCATTGTGAGTAAAAGAGGTGCAGGTGTTTTGTGTTAATTAGCTGATTAGGTCGACATTTCTGTGTTATAAATCCTTTATTCTCAAATTCTCATATTTTGAGATACTGGAGTTTTGATCCATGAGCTCTAAGCTGTAATGATCAGGATTAAAACAAAAAAAAGGCTTGAAATATATGTGTGTGAAATGAATCTAGAATATATGAAAGTTTCTCTTTTTGAATTAAATTATGGAAGAGAAAGAACATTTCCACGATACTGAATTTTTGTTTGATACACCTGTATGTTACCACATCGAAAAGTTGTTGTTTTTGTCCGGCTGCATGAAGACACTGTTCACAGCCTTTTACAGTAAACAAGCTCCTCTTGTAGTTTAGTTAAGAAAAAGCCCCAGACCTCTGAACGTTTCTGTGAGCAGTTTTTACCCAGAATTCCCTGTGTGTGCTAAAGTTCAAGTTTGACTGAAGGACGTTCACTTTGTTGAAAGTGCCAATATAGACTATACAACTCAGGCAGTGCGTAGAAACAGTACAGGAAGTTGCACATCCTCTCATCATTACATTAATACTTAAAAGACTCAAGGGTTGGCCTTATTGGGACCAGGAGATGTGGCAACATGGCAGCAGCTGAGTGTGGCCATTTAAGATGCAGTAAACTTCTTTTTTCGTAATGTTTTGCAATATCTGTTGTTATTCAGTAATTTCATTGACACACACATCTTCCTGAACTTTTCAGACACATGTACATTAACTTAGACAAATACTTAAAAAGAAAACTTTTCCTCAACAGTTTTGACCACAGAAAGTGCTTTGTACTGTAGGTTAAAGTAGACATATATAGTAAAATAGAGTTTGGTACATTACAGCTGCCCAATGCAGCTTTAAAGAGCTTTTTTTCAGCTTTTAAGGAAGCAGAAAACAGGAAAAGATATGTGAATTATTGCTGCCATCTCCAGATAATCATTGTACCATGTACATTTTGGAGTGGCTTTTTATTGTGGCCAGCCTAAGGCCTTTTTATTGTGGCCAGCCTAAGGTAAAGAGATAAACCGTTCTGTAAATGTCTGGCCATTTGGTATATTATCACAATAAAAAACAAAAAAAATCCATCTGACTCTTATCAATGTGCTGGAAAATGGATTTGTCCGATATGCAAATCAGCACATATTTAATAAGGAAATACCTTATTGGCATATAGAAAAATACAAAACATAAAAAATTGTTATTTAAATAAAGCTTCTATTTATGTATTATTTCAGCTTATAAAGTGTCTTTGTGTAAAGTTGGGGGAAAAAAACTTAAATTATCATTTGACTGTGGTGTCTCGCCATTTTAACCATGGTGAAATAACATGATATGGTCAGGACAATCAGCAGGAAAGGGACAAAAGCAAAGATGCTGCTTACAGTTCATAGTGTTGTGACATTAAACACGGGATTACCAGGGGAAGCCGGCGTCTAAAATATAATGGAAGGAGCAACTACAAGGACAGAAAAAGTTTACATGTAAGTAGTAAATTAATTATATGAAAATTTCCTCTTCATCCACATGTCCTTTTCAAATGATCATTTTAAGAGCTTGGAATACATTCGTATCAGGCCCCTTCAGTGCCTCGGCTGTGAAGAAGGTAAAAAATGTAAAATAAAAAGTCCCAAAACATATGTTTTGACATAGTCATGGAAATGTAGTATACTGCAAAGAGCTGTACCATTAGACCATATCAGGGCCCATGCAGCCTCTCACACTCAAGCACTTACCAGGTGACGCCAACATAGTACACTGTAAAAACTGAGCTCTCAAAAACTAGCAAAAAAGCATTAAAACGGGGGAAATATTACTTGAAATAAGCAAAATTATCTGCCAACAGAACAAGAATATTTTACTCGCTACTTAAGGCCAAAAAAGTGAAATTCTGTAACATAAAAGCCGCCTGGTAAGAAGAAATATCTTGTCAGATAAAAAACAAGTATATTTTTGCCTTCAATTAAGATAATTAATCTTACTAAGATTTTAGTTTTTGCAGTGTAGGTCAGGGTTCAGGCTTGAGGGTGGAGACTGGGCTGGAGATTGGAACACTGTACACATAGTGAGGACGTTCATTCATGAAACATGACGTCAACCACAGCAACAGGTAGTGGTGGTGAGGTAGGATCCTGATCAGGTGTGTTACACCCACACGTTCCTAGAATACTATGTACTGTATTAAAACTGGAAAGACATCATCCTGTTTATCAGGTTTATTGCAAATCTCTTCCACATAGTTGTGACCTCCACTGGGTTGCATCAACTATGTGTAAGTTCAAACGTAGTCTAGTTTGAACATAATTTCTTAAGTCTGAGTTTACGTGCTACTAACATTTTAAGGGGTGCACCAGCTGAAATACTTCCAACGCAGACATAAGTTACAACTCAGATCTTACACCTAGCCCTTAATAGGTGTAAAGTCCTCCATAAAGTAGTCAAGCGGTTGTCATGGCACATCGTTTTGAAAGGTGTAAATTCATATATTGTTCAGAATGTTTTTCTTTTTCATTCTTTATCTCTGCATGTTTAGACCAAATTCAATAATATTAGTAAAACATATTAGTAATGTCTTACTTTTTTTCACTCTCTATAAATAGCCTAATAGTGACGGAGGAGTTGGTTATTTGCGACGGCTCGTGTGAAAGTGTGATGGTGTATCCCTGTGCTTTAAGATCTTCTTGTAATTTAAATATTTGAATGTGTAACTTTTATCTTTTCAAGCTCGATTTTTCTTTTTCTGCTTTAATCTTTGGATGTTTCCTTTGTGTGCTTCTCAATTTCAGCTGTAAATAGTCGACATCTCAGTGTGTTCACATCCTCGTCTGTGCCCGGAGCAGGAAGCCTAAAGCTGCCTTTAGCACGCTGATCCTGAGATGATTTGGTCTCGACTTGGTCTCAGCCCCTAAAAGTCTTGGTCTCGTCTTGGTCTTGATAAACTCTGGTCTTGGGCTGCGTCTGAAAAGTCTTTTTTGCTTAGGAAGATTCCTAACTGAGTGAAATGACCCGGAAGTTTTTCTATGGCAGCCATGATAAGAGCTGGTCGAATTCTCTGAAAGCAAAGAAAGGTTCTTCAATGCTTCTTTTCATATCTCCTTTAGCATAGGGTGAACTGCATAGACATATATAGAGACAGCAGACAATTTGAGACATTAGTTTGGCCCGTTTAAATATGACAATGCCACCATGCACAACTCCAGCTCCCTAAAGAAATAGTTTTCACAGTTTGGTGTGGCCCGCACAGATCCCTGACCTCAACCCTAAGGGCGTTGGTGGGGACATAAGGGCTCATGCGATAAAAGGTTCACGAGAACGAGACGAAAAGATCCTTAAACAGTGTTTTAAAGATATCCTCAATGCAGAGAAATATGAGCAGCACACTTCATTTTCTGCATTCAGGTGAAAGTTTCCGCACTAATTTATGGTGGAAATGTTTTTAATAATGTAAAAGGAAACACAAAATTCAGGCGGCAGGTGACATTTCTCTCAGTCATTCTGTGCTGCTTTCAGCTTTGTTTCTCCTGTAGATCAACTTTTCTCATGTAATATCATCCCTACTGAGGCAACGCATGTGTAGGCCTGATTTTAGTCTTCCCTCCTCTTTTGTCATGTTCAAAGGGAGAGAACGGAAAACTTGGCCAAAAAGAAACTGTGTCAAGAAGTTGTTAAAGTCACCGACTGGTGCTGCACGTTTGTGGGTCATTTCATAATCAGCAGTTTGTTTTTCTTGTTAGTCTAAGTTACCTTTTTTGAACAGTGCACATTTGGTTCTTCTATATTTTATTTTCATTTGGTATTAAACTGCAAGCTATATTTCAGAACGTTTCTTTAACAAATTATGCTTTAAAAAAGTGATGGGGACAAAATCAGCCATTTCAAAAAGTGGTGGGGACATGTGGTGGGGACATGTGGTGGGTCCCCAGCGTCCCCAGTGTAAATGACACCTAGGCACAAACCTATCCAACACCTTTGAGATTAACTAGAATGGAGGTTCTGAGCCAGGTCCTCATGTCTTCCCAAATGTTCTTCTGGATAAACCAGCCAAGTTCCCACAAACAAACTCCAAAAGCATATGGATTTAAAATGGGATGTCAAAAAAGTGATGTGTAGGTGTCCCAGTACTTTTGTCCATATAGTATATTTGTGGGTTTTATTTTATTTATTTGCCTGCTGAAAGGTTTTAATCCTGGTTCAACCATAAAAGTGCTGAATAAACAAAAGTTATGATTTATATCACTATTATTATTCACTTTTTGGCTTTCTCTCGTGGATCAAGTCACATTTGCTTTATCTGGACAATCTGCAGCAAAAACAAAACATTATTGATATTCATCTGCCAGCTGTAAATTATCAGTGTGTACTTTGGTGTGATGTATCTGTACAGTGTGTTATTGAAAAAATAAAGACATGTAGATACACAAATGTGTTGCCAAAGCACAGAGAAAAATTACAGTCGGTCTTTATTTTAAGTCAGTTTCATTACACGTGTATTGTTTGCTCACCTGCAGGTGCAGGACTACCTGAAGCGTTTCCGTTTGTCTCAGGAGAAGCTGAAGGAGGTTTCTTATCGGCTGATGACGGATCTGGATCGAGGTTTGGGGAAACACACTCATCACAAGGCAGCCGTCAAGATGCTGCCCACCTTCGTCAGGGCGACACCGGACGGGACTGGTAACGCTGTTTATATTTTGGTTAGATAAGGAGCAAACTGAAGTCTAGAAGGGGGATCAACTTAATAAATTTCAAATCAAATGTTCTAGTGTTACTTCTGAATTTATAGTTGTTAATTATAGTTAGAGATGAAATATGATAAACACATACTCACCGCCTTTACTTCTGGCGTTGTTCATAAACCTGTCCGTTAATCTTCCCGGCAGAGAAAGGCGACTTCCTGGCGTTGGATCTCGGCGGGACAAACTTCCGTGTGCTTCATGTCCGCGTGGTGGAGGACGAGCAGAAAGTGCTGAAGATGGACAGTCAGATCTGTGCCATACCAAAGGAGATGATGCTGGGAACTGGAGAACAGGTGACACACAGTGTTATAAAACAGAAAATGCAGTAAGGAAAAAACAAGGAAGAACATTTGATAATAGTAAATTCATGAGAGCAGCTTTTTGGAACCAGATACAGAATATTAAATACATTTTATTTAAATTGCACCCTATAAAGCAGTCTCCCCAATATTAACCTGATGAATGAAGCTGTATTTATTTGACTTTAATTTTTAATTTGTGCTGTTATATTAAATGCATAACCAGTGAGTAACTAAGTACATTTACTCAGTACAAATTACAGGTATTTGTACTTTACTTGAGTATTTTCTTTTCATGCCAATTTCTACCTCTGCTCCTCCACATCTCAGAGGGAAATATTTTACTTTTTACGTCACTATATTTAGGTATCCAGTTTCAGTTATTTTACAAATTAAGATTTTTACACACAAACATATGAAGAATTTTAAAAAACGTGATAGTTTGTTGTAAATTATATTTCCCAATAGTGCATACAAGTAGGGAACAGCCGGGATGATTGAAACACTTTTCAGATATACGTCATTTTAAAATATAACGTTACAGACAGAAATAATTTCTTGTTGTCATCAACAACTCACGTGTGTGTTCTGTCAATAGCAGGTGTCATCTTGTTAAAATGTGGAACGACTTCAGTATAATTTCACTTTGAACGGAAGGTGCGCAGGTTTCTTCCGTCCTTACTGTGCGGGACAGATGAAACGCAACGATAAACACTTAAATAGTTTAGTATAATAGTACCTTTTATCCAAAGCGACTTACAATTGCTATACATGTCAGAGGTCGCACGCCTCTGGAGCAACGAGGGGTTAACAATGGATGTATCACAGTGGGGAGTTGAACCCAGGTCGCTCACACCAAAGGCACGGGTCTTATCCATTACGCCATCACCACGCCGTGGTATTTAGAAAGCTTGACGCTGCCCTAAATACATAATTGCATAATATAAAATAGTACAACAGTCACAGGATAATTTTCTGCATTGATTACTTTTATGTTCAATCCTTTAAGTCCATTTTCCTGATTATACATATTTCTATATAATTTTACTTAAGTAGCACTTTTACTTAAAAGAGTGTATTTTTACTTTGGGGTATTAGTACTTGTACTTAGATAAAAGGATCTGAATACTTTATCCACCATCTTATAATAACTCCTGTGGCAGTATCATGTAAACAAACAAAAGTTAAGTTTACATTCAGTGTTACTCACTAAAACCCAGTGTGTGTATCAGTGAGGTTTAACAAATGTTTTGTGTGTATATACACTGTATATTGAGATGTTCATATTTAGAAATCTGCCTTTCTGTCTGTCCAGCTGTTCGACCACATTGCGGCCTGTCTCGGTGATTTCCTCGTCTCTCAGGATCTGAAGGGAAAAACTCTTCCTCTGGGCTTCACCTTCTCCTTCCCCTGCGAACAGAAAGAAATTGACAAGGTCTCACGCACACTGCCGCACAATTAATTTCCCTCCAAAATTTTACACACTACTTTCTTTTTGTCTTTTTGTCGCACAAGAAAAGTGTCCATGATGGGACAGAGAATCAGCGTCTGTCTGCAGCTCGTGTCAGGACACCCTGTCCTCAGTGGGCCTGAGAGATTTACAAGAATTTGTTGTATTCACAAGTTTTAGGTGCAAACGTATTTTACGACTGGTCCAGACTTATAATGCCTTAATCTGAATGAAATTGGAGCTTAAGCATGACACAGAAATTAACTAAAACAGACGAAATTAACATTATGTTGATCATCATCATGGCTGACAATTTTCTTTTGTTTTTTTATGATTTAATTTTTTTTTTTTTGCCATATTTCTAGTCGCTATTTAAAGTACTATTAGTACTTTTTACTAATCCATTAGTTACTAGTAAATAATTACTAGTAACTGTTTTTTTTAGTTACTAGTAAATAATGGAATAGTAACTAAAAAAATAGGTAATTATTTTTATTAGTAATTATTTGCAGATTTTTTCCTAATATGTGCATTTCAGAAACTATTTGAATAGTTACCAATAAACATTTCTGTTTTACTAGTGTCTGTTATTATTAGTAGTAACTATTCCATTAGTTACTAGTTACTAACTATAGTGACTAGTAAACCTTCCAGTTTTACTAGTGTACATTATTATTATTATTAGTAGTAGTAGTAGTAACTAATCCAATAGTTAGGGTTTGTCTTATTTGTTGTAGAAAGATGTTTGTTAGCATCTAACTTCAGGTCAAAGTGAACTTTAATAAACTTATTTCAGTCACAGGGCAGCCCTGCTCTGATGATACGTCATTGATAGCTGTAATATTTGCTCATTCTTTCAGGTTCTCTAATACGACTTAACACTGCTGAACTTGTTTTCCTTTTGTCAGCTGATTTCTGACAGCAGGATTTGGAGCTCTACAGTGTGAAATTCTTCAAACAAACGGAGCAGAACAGGAACAGCCTTACATGGCAGTAGACAAGTTAGAGTTTGACTTGAAACACTTGCAAACCTCACAGAACCGTTTAAGATTAGAGTGCGAACATGTTCATGCACGAGGCCCATTGTTCTGTGGGTATTTTTATAAGAAAATTAACAGCTTGTTCTTTTAAAACATTTTCGTCTTTTGTATTAAATTACAAATAAAAATGTTCTCTCTACACAGAGCATCTTGATCCGCTGGACCAAAGGCTTCAACTGCTCCGGCGTTGAGGGAAAAGATGTGGTGAAGTTACTGAAAGAGGCCATTCACAGGAGAGGGGTCAGTCTAAAAACACTACATGATGTCAGTCAAATGTATTAGAAACTAGAAGCCAAACAAAACAAGCTACTTGAATGTGCACCTTGAAGAAAGTGATTGGTAGATTAGTCGATAATGAAATGAATCATTAGTTGCAGCTCTAGTCATGTACAGTCATTTATAAGTTCAGCTGAAAACACGAACAACAGATCATTGTAAGAAGAATGCAATAAACCCAAACGGCACATTAGCGTGCAGCTCACCCTGTTTTTGTTTCCCAGAATGCACCTCTGAATACTCCCCCCAGGGTACGGGTGTGGATCATACATGTCCTGGCAGAGACAGTCAGTCATGTCCTTCACTCCAAACGTCGCCTATATTGTTGCTTGGCCTTTATTTTAGTTTAGACTGTACATCAGTGGTGCTAAACAAATGTGCAACCACTCAAATTACCACAAAGCACTTCTTGCCACACAGCTGAACTGGAGCTTTTGGGTATTTGGGGTTGTAGGAGCCATTTCAATGTTTTATGTCCAGGTTTGGCCTGTAGGTGGTGCTAGAGTTATGGCATAGCTAATTGGGGCTAATCTACTTAGGAGGGCAAGTGCAATCAGACACAGGTGTTGCCAGAGGGGCAAAGCCAACTGGTTTTTGACCGCCACCGATGCGGCAGCTGTGGCTATTTGTTTGATATTAGGAAACTGTCGATGGAGATGGAATATTGTACCATTATAGATGTTGAAGACCATATGTGCAACAATAAATCATATCTCTCATGACAGAGAAGAAAGCAGAAGTTGAACTCTTGTTGCACTCTTTCTAAACCAAACAAAGCGACCACGGTAAGCTCTGTGTAGCCCTCAGCTGCTTTAAGCTTAGGCTTAGCGGTTACAGGGGGGAAGCTGCTAATCTTTGCAAAATAAAATGGTCCAAATCAGTTAACCTTGGCCAAAGGAACAACAATAAAATGCTGCGTACTCTGTGATGATAATCCAGTAATATAGTATATGATTTCACAGAGCCAGTACTTTTGATACTTCAGGTACGACTGCTGTACTTTTGCTAAATTTGCAAATAACAGATATTTTGGGGGGCCACTTGGTGGCAGTGGAAACAACTTGTGAACACAGCATTGACATGTCATCACCTTTTAGCAGCATTATCCTTCATTTGCAGTCTCTGTTTGCTCTGTTTCAAATCCTAAGGGAAATATCTGGCTCTGCTAAATGCTCCACTATGAAAACTCCCCCTTTTTATAGCCACAAATATCAAGTTACAACCAAACCCATCAGAAAAAAAATAACACTTAAACACAAATTAGCATAATTAGAACCACCTAAAATTATAGAAACCCTCTTGGGGAGTCGTGATGTTTAGTGATGTTGATCTGAAATCACTGGCAAAGAGGGAGAAGAGCCGCGGGGGCAGAACAATTCAATTCAGTTCATTTATATATCAGTTTTTTTATGTAGCGCCAGATCACAACAACAGTTATGTCATTGCACTTTTCATAAATGAGCAGGTCTAGACCGTGATATTATTTACAGAAACCCGACAGATCCCACCAAGAGCAGCACTAGGCGACAGAGGCAAGTAAAAAACTTCCTTTTAAGAGGCAGAAACCTCGAGCAGAACCACGGCTCAGGGTGGGCGGCCATCTGCCTCCACCGAGAGAGAGAGAATATTGTGTACATAAATATATAGATTGACGACATAAATTAATAATTGTTAATTGTTTGTTAATATTGTAGTAAGAGAAACTTGAACTTTAGGCCCTCATTAAAAGCAATGTGTCACTCAGTGTGTGCGTGTAGGCAGCTTATGTTGTATACAGATTGTAAATAGGAAGGATATAAACAATCGTGTATTGCTGTCCCTCTGCAGGATTATGATATAGGCTCAGTTGCTATGGTGAACGACACAGTGGGCACGATGATGAGCTGCGGCTACAAGGACCAGAGCTGTGAGATCGGCATGATCATCGGTAACATTTTAACACATAAAACAACTTCAGATAAAACTTATATGAATCTGACTCTGCCCATCAGGGTTTTTGCTGGATGGAAAATATGTGATTTTATTTTACATATGTACACATGGAAGAGGTACGCAGATATTTTAGTAATAGTAGCAATACCACAGTGCAGAAATACTTTCCAAACATGCAGTACTGCCAAAAGTACTCATTGTGTAGAATGGCACATTTCAGAATAATATATATTTTATCACTGGATTTTAATTATTGATGCATCACTTTAATGTTGCAGCTGGAAAACGTGCAGCTCATTTAAACTATCTTATATGCTGCTGTGTAGCTTAATCTATAATAATATGTTTATAATTTATTAGTTGATTTATGATTAGTTTTGTTTGTTAGAATAATAATTGTCTAAAGCAGGGGGTTTCAAAGTGTGTGAGGTGGGCCTCCCCAGGGGGGCTCCAAACAGTTTCAGGGGCGGCTCAGTGAATGGAAGCGAAACAATATAACATTAATTATTGCATTAGTTATCAAAATGAGATCACATAGAATAGCTTACATGTGAGAGACTAATCAATGCCTTAGGACAGAGCTTTTTGAACTTATTTGTGTTCAGATCACAACCCGGGCCTAGATGGTACCAAAGAACAAGCAGCAATTTAGATTTAATCTTCTTGCTTCTCTTCCTCTTTAGGTACGGGAACCAACGCCTGCTACATGGAGGAGATGAAGAACATAAAGCGTGTGGAGGGCGAGGACGGACGGATGTGCATCAACACTGAGTGGGGCGGCTTCGGAGATGACGGCTCCCTGGAAGACATCCTGACGGAGTTTGACGTGGAGGTGGACAAGACGTCCATCAATCCCGGCATCCACATGTAAGAATGACGATCGCTCATCATAGGTGTTTTTAGAGTTGAAACTATCAGGCGGTCAGCAGAAAGTTTCACTTTTAATAATACTCTATATGGACAGAGACTTTTAAGAGGAGACACGGCGGTTAAAGAATGAACCCCCTCCCACTAGAAAGCCAGTTGTTTTTGCTTTTAAATGCCGGGAAACATATTAAGCCGCTCGTGTGATTCTACTGACATAAGGGTCTACTTCGCATGCGTAGTAGAAGTATAGCCGGTGGGGGGAAATGCTTATTAAACCTTATTTTGGGGCAAAGTCATTTAACTTTTTCAGCAGTATTCATCAGATTTTCTTGGTGATTCTATATATGTAGTTTTTATAGAGAGCATTTGATTGAACTCTTGCCCTTGTCCTTTGTTTTATTTTTAGCACTTACCTGTTTTATCATGTAGCACTTTGGGGTTTGCTTAAATATAAAGTGCATTACATATTAAAATTATTATTATTATTATTATTCATGACAAAATGAAAGTGCATTATGGTTCTCCCCCCATTCATTTAGATAGATAGAGGTCAGGGCCCGTGTTTATCAAGCTTCTCAGAATTACTCATAAGAACTGACTTAAGAGTAAAAAAATTCTTTCTCCTAATTTGAGTGAAGTGTAGGACTAAATCTAAAGTGTCAGTCTTAGTGCAGATTTACGACACTTTGCTGTAACGCAAACAGGATTTTGGATGACGATGTCACCAAGGACCAATCACTGATTAGAGTTCCTCCTTTAAGAATATTCTCAGATAATTTAACATTGAATTGTGAAATTCTTAAGAGGAGTTTACACTTTTTTTCAAGATAATACATTATGATATAGGCCTACACATTAAGAAATGAAAGATAAAAAAGTTTATCTTCATATGAGCGCCATCAAAGGCGCCTACTACTCCTGTATTGCCGGCTATTTGCATGAACTGTGTTTGCTTCTGTCGGATTACGGGGGTTTTGTTGGAAAGTCGATTAAAAGCATGACAGTCGAGCTGTAAGTGCTATAATTGTTTCCATGACTATTCGGCTTATTGATGGTTGTGAGGGGCCAAAATCATCAGTATTGCTGCGTTTGTTCTGTTATTCCGTTAGTCCAAAATATCTGCCCAGAGGCGTTACCAAGATGGCTGTCGAGTGGCCGAACCTGCCTATAAGGAGGACTTTGATATCCACCATTTAAGTCATTTGTCAGGAATAGATATTCCAGATATTCTCTGCTTCCAGCTTCTCAAATCCTTTTTTTTTTTAGGATTGGTTGGTTTCAGAAATGTCATGTGCATTTTCCTTCCGCAGCCATGCTAGCAGCTCTGTTAATCTTACTTGCTCACAATGACAAAGCCAACATGTTGAGCTTGTTTAGCAGGTCAACAATGTTTACCATGGCTGATGGGAATGTACAGAAGCCCTGAGAGGTCTGAAATACTTTTCTCTCTGGTGTTTATGACTTAAAGGATAACTTGGGTATTTTTCACCCTGGATCCTATTTCCCACCGTGTTTTTGTGTCTTATTGAGCAATGAGAGCAAAGTATTTTGAAATTTTTCCATTACTGAGCGTTGTACTCCGCACAGCGATTGAACAGTGGATAAGACTCATGCCATTGGTTTGGGAAACCAGGGTTCAATTCCCACTGCGACACATCCACCAATGTGTGCCTGAGCAAAACACTTAACCCCTAGTTGCTCCAGAGGCGTGCGACCTGTATATACGCAAGTCGCTTTAGTTAAAAGCGCTCGGCTAAATGAGTAAATGTAAATGCACTAAAGTGTTTCTTTTTGCCGCTGACAGGCTCAGATTGTTATTACAAGTGTCTGACAACTTTATGGAAAGGATCCCTACAGAGAGAGGCCTTTTTTAAAGAGTAAGATCCTTTTTGTTTAACCAGAAACCGTCGCTATATATCGCTCTCATCAAAGCCACCAGACTCCCTTGATAAAAACAGTAATTTTACCTCTCTGGTCTACCACTGCCTCGATCGCTTAGTATTTTTGTGTCATTTTGAATCTTTGGTGTTAAGTAACACAGTTACACAAACATACTGACCAGCAGAATATCCCGTATTCTGCAAGCTAGAATTACTGTTTTTGATGGTTTTGCCTCTTTCCGTGCTGTTTAATCCTGTGCTTTTTTCCTCCTGCAGCTTTGAGAAGATGATTAGCGGCATGTATTTGGGAGAAATCGTGCGGCTGCTGCTGGTGAGGATGACGGAGGACAACGTGCTGTTTGAGGGACAGACCTCAGAGGCGCTGCTGACTCCGGGGAAATTTGAGACAAAGTTCATCTCTGAGATTGAAGAGTGAGTGTCCAACACAGGTTTCTTAAATCAATCATCCGCCTTTCGTCAGAAGGCTTCGATACTGTGGTTTGGAAACTTTCTAATCTGAGGCTGAAAAGTGATACAGTTCAGCACTTTCCTTAAATGGAAATGCAACTGTTTTAAACTTTTTGGTTGGTTCTAATGACATTTTTAATCGCCTAGAGCCTTTCTTTACCCCTCTTCAAGATAGAACCAGGCCTTTATTTTTTATTTGTTTCTTGTGTTCATTTGTTGTTGTTGTTGCAGTCGTCAGTGCAAACTCAACATTTTCACGTATTAAGCTTTTAAGTCAGGGATGCTGGAGGTCAGTCAGAGCTGAAAGGGGGTGCTAAGAGAAAGTCCGTCTATATAATGGCGTCTTGTACTAAAAGCTATGCGACATTTACATTTTTTACATTAATTTGAATGATCATTTGCTGTACATCTAATACTCAATAACAACAGTTAACAAAGCAGACTTGAACACCAACATACTGTTTGTCAAGTAGCTACAGTGAAGAACACAGAAGTATAGCATGAAAACTGCAAGGACATGAAGAGGGAGAGAGGCAGCATGTGGGCGAAAGACATGACCAGCATACAACAGCCGTCACTTTGCAGTGTAGCTCAGAGTCTTAGCGGATAAACCTGGGAGTTATTTTAGTGCATAGATCAGGCGTCTTATCATACTGTGTCACTGAAAAGTGGCAGTGCATTTAACTCTAACTCTAACAAGCTCTAGCTCTAGCTGACTGGATTTAACGGTTCCCTGACATTTTTGGTTACTTTGATTTACTTGAAAAAACTCTCAAACACCTCAAAGTGTTCACGAAACAATAGAAAAGCTCAGACCTGCTGTGAGTCGCTGTACTGTGCTGGAGGTATTATAATAGACTGTATAACAGTGTAACTAAAGTAGTCTCCACTCCTTTACAGAGTAGATTACACGTTTTGAACAAATGATTATTTATCATTATTCTCATTTTCATTGAAAAACATTTGATTGTGGCAAGATATATAAGGCAAGTCAAGGCAAGTTTATTTGTATAACACATTTCAAAAACAAGGCAATTCAAAGTGCTTTACATAAATCATTAAAGCATTATGGGGAAATGAAAAAAGTAAATAAAGAAATAAAAACAACACAATTTTTATAGAGTTAATTTGAAAATAAAGCAGGATACAGGACAGTAAAAGTTACAGTGCAATCTACTTTATTATTTAATGAAAGTTAAAAGTCTTCAGTCTTGATTTAAAAGAACTGAACGCTGCTTCTCCTTGTTTAGTTTTCTGAGGACCGAAAGCAGACCTGATCCCAGACGACCTGAGAGGTCTAGATGGTTCATAACGAAGCAGAAGATCAGAAAATGTAGCAAACAAAGATATTTTCTTAAGTCTCTCTAGGATATGATGTGTTGACCAGGACGACAATATTTAATTTAAAATGGCATTTTGACACACATATCACCTTCAACAAATACTGCGTGCCTCCTGTGAGTTGAAATTGCAGTAGGTCATTTTGCGATTTTGATAACATGTGGATTAATTGATCAGCCCTACTGTAAACCCATAATAAAACCGTGACATTAAGATAAGCAGCTGGTTCCAGAGCTGTGAACTCATCCAGCTCTCTCAGACTGTCAGCTGTACATTAGATTATAAAACTAACAACAAATGCAGGTCCAGGTGATCACAAGCAGCAGATGTCAATGTGCACAATACGACACATTCCCACTTCCTGTGTAGACTGTTTAAACGCATATGGCCGATAGATCAGTGTCTTTTAAACGTTTGCTTTGTATCATTTGACCATTTTGTTTAATCCTTTGGTCCTCCATGTGGTCTTTATTTCCTGTCCGTGTCTCAGGCTGGACAACGGTCTGGAAAACACCCAGAATATTCTGACGCAGTTGGGTTTGAAATGGGATTTGGTCGACTCCCATGTGGTGCGTCTGGTCTGCGACGCCGTGTCCTCACGCTCCGCCCATCTCTGCGCCGCTGCTCTTGCCACCATCGCCAACCGTATCCGGTGTAACCGCAGGCTGGACCGCCTGAAGACCACTGTGGGGGTGGACGGGACGGTCTACAGGAAACACCCCACGTAAGAAGGAAAATGAGGGAAATACAGGCAAAAGATGAGAATGAACTGTAAAAAGCCCATATATATGAGCTTCTTTAAAATCTTTTATTCCTCCTCAAATCTTTATTGCTAAAAGAGAAATAAAGTCTACACGAGACATGAAGTACACAGAACTTTGTGATCTGTAATATGGTTATAACGGTTAGTTTGCTGTCCATGTAGAGTGAACTGGACGTCTGTGTGTTGTTTATACACTCTGATAATGATAATCCAACACATCTTTGTAGTAGCGTCCATGTTGATTCCACATTCCGACTTAAGAGCACATGAACAACGCAACAAATGAAACCATCCCAGGAGCACCTGAATGCACCGTGAGCCGCTGGTTGTAATTCACAACCATCACCACTAGATGCCACTAAAACTTACACACTGAACCTTTAAGTAAAAGTATTTAAGTACAATCGGGAAAATGTACTTAAAGTATTAAAAGTAAAAGTACTCAATACAGAAAAATGTCCACTGGGACTGTTATACTACTATTACTATATATTATATCATGAAATTATTAATTATTAAAGTACTCATGCATTCATGTAAAATTACTTTCGTAGTTGTTGAGAGCTCATTTTGAACACTTTAGTATCCAACTGCATGAAAAGAAAACAAACAGACCTAATTTGTACTTAAGTACAGTACTTGATTAAAAGTACTTAGTTACTGTCCACCACTAACTAAAGTACAATTAATCAACAAGTCTAACATCGGCTATGAAGACATATTTTATGCTCATGTACTCTGTTTATAAATGACGATCCTGTTGTGTTGTTGCTCTGCTTCTGACCTCTGATAGGACAGAATATAATTTTAACATCATTCATTCAAAAGTTTTATTTGATGAAAGAGAGAAGGGATGTCGTTCTTCAGTAGGTGCTTTTGTTTTGACTTTTGTCTTTATTTTAACCTTAAAATGGCAACGGTTATCTCGGATCTACTGAAAATGACATTGGGTTTGGTTCTCTTCTGTAAGTGTTATGTTTTCGAAAGCAAGTAAAGCAAACAGCATTTTTATTTTTTGGTCATCTATCATTGTGCCAGTGACGAAACAGCTGATATGCAGATGAACCAGGAGGAAGTGTTGCGTTGTTTTTTCCTCTTCTCAGTTTTGGGGAGATGTAAATCGTATTTATTTGTCTGGCAGGAGGCGCTGGGTGTTGACACATTAACACACTTGTGAATTGCTGTTTGTCACTTCTCTGTCCTTCAGCATTTAAATTACTGTAAATATTTACCTTTTACTGTTTATTTATATATTACCACTACACACGTGCATTACTCTGGCACTTAAACTGCATTTCTTTGTCTCAGTACATGAACTCTGACGTGACATTTTAATTTTTAGATTTAATATATAATCAAATAAAAAAATCTAAAACATTTCTTCATGATATGATGATGAGCACTGCACTCAGTACTCTCTCTTGTCTCTCTCCCTCCCTCCCTGTAGTTTCAGCATGAAGCTCCAGGCGATGGTGCGCCTCCTCGCTCCCGAGTGTGACATCACCTTCCTCGTCTCGGAGGACGGCAGCGGGAAGGGCGCTGCCATGGTAACTGCTGTGGCGCAGCGGCTGGCTCTCCGGCTGTTGGAGGACAGCGATAGTGAGGACGACGAAGAAGAGAAATAACAAGAGTGTAGAGGATGTAGTTGCACTTGTGAGTCTGCTGTATTTTAGTTCAGATACATTTTATGTGAATGAAGTTTTTCTGCTGATGCATTCATGTAATATTACTTTAAAAGAACAAGAAGCAATTGCTGTTTTCTAACTTTGTAGTGTTTTTGCATTTAGAAATATTAAAGGTTCGACCCCTAGTAGCGCTATGGAGGAGTTTTTCTTTAAGTGGGTTGCTATGGCAAGCCGTTTTCACATTTATCATTTCAAACTTACTAGTCACTATTTAAAAGCTACTAATACTTATTTATTACTTAGTAGTAACTATTCCCATTTTACAAGTAGCAATTGATTAGTAATAAAAGTATCTTGTCATTAATTGCATTTTTGCCATTGAAATCAAAGGGGCTCTACAGTTCAGATATCACCTATTCATTAGTTATTAGTAACATTTCCATTTTACTAGTGTCTATTATTTAGATACTAGTACCTATTTATTAGTTACTAGTAAGTAATTGAATAGTTACTAGTAACAACATTTAAATGTTACTATCAACAAGCCATTTTACTGGTTATTAATGAATGGCTAGTACTCAAAGAAAATTTACTAGTAAGAATTCAAATGTTCTAGTATCTTTTGGAATAGTTACTAGTAACTTACTAGTATCGAAATAATAGATAATGATAGAAATGATGACTGTAACTATTCAAATAAGTACTAGTAATTAATGAATAAGTATTAGTAAATAACAAGAGCGACTGGTAAGTTATAAAAAATAAATGCCAAACGGCTTGCCATAGGGACCCTGTTTTGTTGCACACAAGTACACACGTGCACGTGTTCAGGCAGGTGATTCGTTACCCAGTCCTGCCAACAGTGTCACACCTTACACTGAATTACAGGAGGTGGTAACACATCAAGAAATGTGCCAGCAAAAGCAGAAAAAAAGAAGACTGCAGCTTTTATTAGGAGGGAAATACACCTGACACATTTGTTAGACGTTAAAGATACACACAATGTGTTGTGGTAAGGAGCACTGAATGTCAACTCCACATGGCACCTGCAACCCATGAAAAAGAGCAACTTCACCAACAAATAATAATAATTTGCAGATCACATATTAAACATGGGGTATGGGTGAAAATAGAAGTGTCAAATAATTTGATATATTCAAATTGAAATCATTTGTTTTTTCTTAAATGCCATTTTTATTATCTGTACCATTTATCAATTATCCATATTTTCCATATTTTTCATTGAGGATGAACTGCCTGCTGTGTTTTTGTATCTATGTGACAAATGCAGTTTCATCACAGTTGAAATTACCTTTCATTCTTTTGGATCTAACAATCTATCACTGAAATGCTGTCACCTGTTTACTTGACTGGATTGAATGTTTCCTCTGACCCTCACACAGAGGCGTGCACTTTGGATAAATGATCATTTGTTTGAGTTCAAGCAGCAGAATAGTAATATTAAGGACAAGCACATTTTTATAGCACATTTCAACAACAAGGAGATTCATAAAACATTAAAGCAACATAGGGCAGTATAAAAAGACAGCTGTTGCATGAGTGACTGGCGCAACTAAACTTTACACATGATGAATAAAATCAATGCGCACCTGATGGCTATTAGCCGTCAGGAAATGTGTGATTGGATTCTCCTGAATCTGTTCATAACAACTTTGGTGAAGAGAATAATAAAAAACACACAAAAGAAGAAAAAAAAATAGCTGAGAGCAGGAGTCAAATACACAATCTTTAGACTTTAAGTCCTGTCCTCTATTAACTGAGCTAACCGGTCACACGAGGAAGTATTCTGCAGTTATCCACCAGAAAACCCCTGTATTCAGCTATGGTTTATCTCTTTGAACTTTGAGCTTAGGGCTTCCGTAGATATGAGAATTTGGATCTCCTCAACTTCAAATTTCACAGTGTTATCTAGTTTATTAAACTGATTTAGTATGACTGAGATAATACATGTGTTACAGATATCTTATAAGGTGTAACAAGACGTACATTAAATCAATCTCTGTGCATGTTTTGTAAAATTGCCGACTTGACTTTTTACACCAAAGGGAGCAAGGTGTTTCAGCAAGCTACAAAAGATTACAAATTAAAATGTGCATGTAATTTCAGCATGCAAATATCAAACATAAGCACCCAGTAGTTGCTAAAATGCATCTTAACGTGTTCTCTGTTAGCATGGTAAGTCAACACAAATCATTGTTCTCACAACGATGTAGAGCTGAGATGTCTTAAAATGGCCACCGTACAGAGGATATACACTAGATTTAGGTGTCAATGTCTTCTGGCACCACCCTGGGAACAAACTTTTTTAGCTCCATTAGTTTTAAGCATTTGAGATTATTGAAGCCTTTTTTCATTCTCCATTTAGTGATTTTGTTTCTGGGCTGTAATGAAAAAAAACAAGCTGTGGACTTTTGTGGAATCTTACTTCCCATCACTGCTTCTCTCTTTCGCTTCGGGAAGTTGCTGATGCTCCTTTAAACGGTCTGGTGGTGGTTGATAAGTAGAATGTTTATTGACAAGCCAACCTGTTTCAGGTGCAGGTGCAAGAAAAGCAGCATAAGAAAAAGGAGAGGTGGTCTGCAAACTGAATTTTATGAGCTTTCAAAACTATTATGAAGCAACATTACGACCTGCAGGCAACAAGATGTACCACACCCTGTAAGGGTCAAGGTGGGGTTTATTTTTCTGAACTACTCTTTGCACTAACTTGCTTTAAGTTTTATGTTCGCATTGATCCATAGAGCCAGTTAGTGTGTTAGTCCAGTTAATATACACTGCCAGTTTAAGGAAACGCTCTGCAGATACTGAATCAAACTATGTACTCTTTTTTTGCAATTTGGTGATCTGACTATTTTAAGAGTTAAGTATTTTCCTCTTGGTTGTGGTAATTTAGTGATTTGAGCTTGTTTTACTTAAAAGTATTTATTTGTTCTGACCAAGTGAGAAAACAAACAAATTTGTGAAAAAGCATTTTATGTAAAATAAATAAATAAAAAATAGTGCTAGTGACAGCTGGCTGGACAAATTATATCCTTATCATTGCGCAATGCATCACTGCTGTATTGTATAGAGAGACACAAAGTCCAGGTTAGCTTCTGTCCAAGTAGTCCTCTTTCATCACTTCCTGTGGTTTTTGCTTCATCTTTAAAGATAAATGAGGATCTTCTGCTGTAATGGGCTGTGAAATATTAATATTTCTTTAAGCTGGTAAAAGCCGTTTTGTTGTTTTGTTTGTTAGCCTTCAACAACTACAGTCTTTGCCGCAGATACACTGTCAAAGCCTTGTGGGCGCTAGAGAAGTTGAATCCTAACAAAAAAATGTATTCATTCATTACAAACTGCTAGGATATTAAAGAGAACCAGAATGTACTAACTGCTGTACTGTAGTACTGATTTGAGGTACTTGTAGCCTACTTCACTTTAGTCTTTTCATGCCTCCTTCTACTTCTAGCTTTATTCTAGCTTTACTTTTCAAAATAAAATTTATGCACACAAAACGTAGAAAAGGCTTTAAAATGTGTTTTGTTATCCATTACATTTTAAAGGCAGGACCTTTCCTTGTAACAGAGTGATATTAGAACTTTTACTTAAGTAAAGGATCTAAATACTTCGTCCACTACTGTCAGAAACACAGATGAGACAAACTGTCTATAAGAAAAGACAGAGGAACTTGTTCCTTCTGATTTGACTATGTGGAACATGAACAAAAAATGTTAGCACCTTTCCTCCTGTTATCTAACTGTTGGCATTTTTAAAGTTTCTGACTGCACTTCCTTGCCTGATTATTACTTTTAATACTTATGTGTTTTATTTCTGGGAGAAAATATCACCTGAGTGCTTCACTGCAGAATAGCTCTTTTCATCAAACAGCCACTCGGCCATCAGGTGACGCCCCTGCTGCTGCGTTGCTGCAGCTCTCACTGACATGCAGAGGACAAAGTGGAGCCTGAAGCCTGTTGTGTTTCTGCGGACAGACTGCCGCAACCTGTTCCTGCCACACCGGTGGTGATTCGGGTCTGAAAGTCAAGAGCCGCTCCAGCTGCTCGGCTCCAGGCTGCAGTATTCATGCGTCAGTAGTCAGCAGTACTCCCCTTATTCACATACTGCTGTGTTTCAACCAAAGGCACCGATAAGGTTGCACTTTGTTCCTTGTATTCCCGTCAAAAACCCTGGACACTTTCTCTTCTCTCTACTTTGAGTGGTACTGGTATACTGGCCCACTTCAAGTACTGCTTCTCAGCACAGAGACCACGAGAATGAATGATGAAGGTGTTGACAACATTTAAGACGTTTGTGTCTTTCAACTCCAAGTGTTTGCTGCAAATTATTAGTAATTAGTAGCATACATTCTCACTCCCAAATCGTCAAATATAGACGCATGGTCAAGACCCCTTAGCGTCATAGCATTTATGAAGGCTAAAAGTAGGTGTAGGAAGTAAATAACGTTAAAGTACTGAGGTGGTTGGTGGTAGATTGGTGGACCAGAAACTGGACCTTCACCCAGGACACAGGTGTTTGTTTCCTGTGTAAATCAAAAAAGTCAAAACCTAAACAAATTGCTATGTTTGACAACGTTAACCAGTTGTTTTATTTTGAAAATCTAACCGGATGTTACATATTTATTAAAGCTAACACGTGTTGCATTTACTGTACATGTAATTTCAAGTGCTGAAGTACAATTTTACTTCTACTTCACTACAGTTCAGAAGGTAATGTTGGTACTTATGTTTAATAATGTTATATTTACTTTGATTTTACATTTTTTAAAACATGACAGGGTTTCAACCACACAGTACGGAAAAGTGTGGAATTTGATGTGACGTCAAAAGCAAGGCAAGAAGGCGTGTGACTGAACCAAACAGCTCTGACCTAAATGCCCCCTAACTACCAAATCCGGAAATCCACAACCAAATTAGATGGAACATGGACACGGCAATATCTTTGAATTGCGTCACAAAGAAAAAAGTTTTACTTTTGTTTGAACATTTATGAGTTATGCAGTGATATATCCATGGAAACGGTGAATAAACAAAAGTTCTGCAAAAGGCTGCAGTGAAAATTAAATTATTTAACTATATCTAACTAGAACTCTAATATTATTTATTCAGCATGTTAAGGGGAAATAATATGAGTATAGGTAGCACCAGTTAGTTTACTTCCTCTT